GGTCATGAGTGTGCTGTCCCAGGGCCGGCCACTAGGGGACACCTCACCCCATTGTGTCACCCGGCACTTGTAGTCAGGGTGTAACGCCCTAACTCCAGGGAGAGCAGCACTCCAAGTGACGTGGAGGGGGTGACTCAACCTTCCTCCTAATGGTTTGAAATGTAACCACTGATTTGCAATGACAATTACACTTCAAAGGGAAAAATCCTCTTCGGGGATAAGGGCATAAAGGAAACCAGATTCCGTGGGTGTCCCCTGCCAGCTGCTGGGCTTAAATGGGCCCTTGTGTTAGAGCTGGAGGGTCTTCTGGCCTCTGGAGACGGGGATCGTGCTCAGCAGCCCCCAGCAGCGGCCCTGGGTCAGCCTCCCTGTCCGGGAGTGTGCTCTGGGTCCTGGTGTGCCGGCCAGACGGGCTTCCCCTAGGGCTCTCCTCACAGGAGCTGTGCTGGCCCGTGACCCTCCCTCCCTCGCCCAGGGCCCCAACATCCCCCTGTCACCTCAGCTCCCCGTCCTCGCCCCCTTCCCTGAATCAGCTCTCTCCACCTCAACCTGGCTCACCCCGAGTCCCCAGGACTCCCCTCGGTTACCTGCCCCATCTGCACCCCAAGACCCTGGGGCAGCCCCCACCCCCAGACAGTGAGGCAGCCTCTCCTCTGCCCAGGTACGAGCTCCGCGTCATCGTGTGGAACACGGACGAGGTGGTCCTGGAGGACGATGACTTCTTCACTGGGGAGAAGTCCAGCGACATCTTTGTGCGGGGGTGGGTGAGAGGGCACCGGGCTGCGGCGGAGCGGGGGCTGAGCCCACCTTCCTGGGAGGCAGGCGAGGAGGGAGGGGGCTCCCCGCAGGTGGCCGCCCGTTCTGGAGCCCATGGCACCCGGCAGGTGGCTGAAGGGCCAGCAGGAGGACAAGCAGGACACGGATGTCCACTATCACTCCCTCACCGGCGAGGGCAACTTCAACTGGCGCTACCTGTTCCCCTTCGACTACCTGGCCGCTGAGGAAAAGATTGTCATCTCCAAGAAGGAGTCCATGTTCTCCTGGGACGAGACGGAGTACAAGATCCCCGCGCGGCTCACCCTGCAGATCTGGGATGCCGACCACTTCTCCGCGGACGACTTCCTGGGTGCAGGGCTGGGGAAGGAAGGGGGGTGGGCAGGGGGAGCCCAGCCCGGGGAAGGTCATCAGAGCTGACTCCAAGGCTGCCACAGGGGCCATCGAGCTGGACCTGAACCGGTGTCCTCGGGGCGCAAAGACAGCCAAGCTGTGCACCATGGAGATGGCCACGGGGGAGGTGGATGTGCCCCTGGTTTCCATCTTCAAGCAGAAGCGCGTCAAAGGCTGGTGGCCCCTCCTGGCCCGCAATGAGAATGACGAATTCGAGCTCACGGTGGGGACCACGGCTCCTTGGGCAGAGGGCAGGGCTGGGCGCGGCTAGGGTGCTGAGGGCCCGGCACCCGGCCTGAGCACCGGGCTCCTTCTGTTCCGTTCTGCAGGGCAAGGTGGAGGCAGAGTTGCATCTACTGACCGCCGAGGAGGCAGAGAAGAATCCTGTGGGCCTGGCCCGCAATGAACCTGACCCCCTAGAGAAACCCAAGTGAGTGTGCTGCCGGCCACGCCGGTCTCTGGGGCCACGGGAACAGGAAGGAGGGGCCAGAACCTTCTGGCCTTCTTGCTCCCGCCCTGCAGGCACCTCTGCGCTCTCTATCCCTTTCTGGGCAGGGCAGCCCCCTCTCCTCTCTGCTTTGCCCTGGAATCCATGCTTCCCTCTGAGCCAAAGCAGGGGCTACCTTTGCAGGAAAGCGGCGCCTCTCCCAGGGAAGGCCCCGTTTCGCAGAGTTAATGCTCTTCCTACTTTTGCCAGAAGCCGGCAGCGGCAGCCGTGGAGTGTGGGGCGCCAGGCGGCCCTGCTGGCAGGGGAGGCGCCCAGAAGTGCCTACACTCAGCCCAGGGGCGCGCCCCCCGACCCCCCACCCCCGGGTGCGAGGCCCCTGCCACAGCCTGAGCCTTCGTCCTCCGCGTCCTTTGTCCGCGCTGCGTCTGCCCTGTTGCCGCTGCGGCCGGCCAGACGCGGGCTTCCTGGGGTTCTTGAACCCTCTCCAGTCTGCCCGCTCCTTCCTGTGGCACACGTACCGCTCCTCACACTCCCGCTGCCCCTCCTGCTCGCCCCCGCCCTCTGCTCGGTGCCGGCTTCCCCCGGCCAAGAAGGCCCCGGGGGCCTGGGCCTGGCCTCCTGCTGGCTCCGGGACTCCCCACTTGGCCCGCTGCACTGCGGGCCAACGAGCTTCAGCAGGCGGCGCCCACGCGTGCACACGTGCACACACACGGATGCACACGTGCACACGCCAACTCCCGAGCCGCCAAACAGTCCCCTGGGCTCTCAGAACCCAAGGGACTGTCGTACGTGTGTGCGGACTGGGCCAGAGAGGCAAGGTCACCGAGCAGATCAGAGCTGAGACCCAGCCTAGGTTTTCACATTGCCGACCCGGCGTTCTGGGCTGGACACCGCTTCCTGTCCTCACGGCAGAATGACAGACTCTAAGCCGGTGCCATTGGCAGAAAGCAGTTGGCATGTGGACGGGGGATGGGGAAGGGTTTGGCCAGGACTCGCCAGCAAGGCCTCGCCAGTTCCCACCGGCCCCCCACCTCGCAGCCCGGAGCCGTTTTCCGCCGTGCGGCCCGGGAAGGGTCTCCATCCCGTCCCCCCAGCTTAGCAGGTGCCATCTGCTGAGCAGCCTAGGGGGCCGGGGGGCCTCGCCCGGCACGTGCGCACCCTCGCCCTGCCCCGCACCAGCCGCAGAGGCAGGGTCTGCCATTAACCCCGCTGTGTAAGTAAGGAAACTGAGGCTCAGACAGGGGCCTCACTTGCCCATCACTGCTGGGCCTGGAAACCAGGTGCCCTGCGCTGGAGCCGCACTCCGCCCCGAAGGTTCTGGAATGCACGGTCTGTGTCCTCCGGGGGTTGCTGGGACAGGAGTATGAAAAAGCCTATTCAGTACTTGAATTTTCTGTCTTGACGTCTTATAAACCCTACTGTTTTCGTAACACCGACGACAGGAAGCACCTCCTGGCCGGGAGGCTGTGCGGAAGGCAGGGCAGCGAGCCGTGTGTGTCCCACAGGGGCCCCTCAGACCCTCGGCAGGGCCCGGTGGGGACCGACGCTCATGTTCTCAGAAAGGGGGAGAGGCAGAGAGGCCCATTGCCTGACCACGGCTCCCCCTCTGCCCGCAGCCGGCCTGACACCGCCTTCGTCTGGTTCCTCAACCCCCTCAAGTCCATCAGGTACCTCATCTGCACGCGGTACAAGTGGCTCCTCATCAAGATCGTGCTGGCACTGCTCGGGCTGCTGCTGCTGGCCCTCTTCCTCTACAGCCTCCCCGGCTACATGGTCAAGAAGCTGCTTGGGGCGTGAAGCCCCATGGCCCGGTGGCCGCTTCTCTCCCTGGGCAGCTTGTGAAGCCCAGTGTCCCCCCCACCTTGTGGCCTCAGGTCCCAGAAGCCTACCTCCTGCTTGCTGGGCCATCCTCCCTCCCAAGCCTGCTGCTTGCCCCGTGCCACCCATCTGGTCCCTGCCTGTGGGGTGGGAAGGGTGAGGAGGAGTGGGGTCCTGCCCCTCTTGGCTGAGGCACCCCTGGCTCGGGTAAGGCCACCCCAGACCCTTCCCAAAGGCCTTCCAGTGGAGGAGTAAAGCTTTAATGGAATTAACTGAGAACTAGCCAGTGCCCAGAGCTATAAAAAGAATGAACAAGCAAAAAGCATCACCCTCCCTCCCCCACAGACCCTCGCGAGGGCAGCCACACCACCCATCTTTGTTCTGCACACGTGGGCCAGACCCTTCCTACGAAGGGTGTGGAGGTGGCTGCTTCCGCCCTGCGGCCCTCCCGAGTGCCTCCTCCTGCCCAGGGAGCTGCCGTGGTGGGGGCACAAGCCCCGTCCCTGCCCTGCCTGTGGGTTTTTATCGCTTCCCAGAGCTTCCTCTGCCCAGTCCAGCGCTCAGAAGCCCAGATGAGGAGCAGTGAGAGTGAACCCCGGTGCCTCCCCCCGTCCCCCATGCCCGCCTGCCCTACCAGGCCCTCATGGAGGCCAGGATGGGAGCGGGTACTTGCCCTGAGAGCTGGGTTTCTGTTGGCTGTTGTTCCTTTCTTGAGTGGTGATTTTTCTCTTAATAAAAGGAATTAAACACTGAGCTGAGAAGTCTGCATTTGGCCAAGTGGGGGGACCAGTATAGGGGTACAGGGTCTCTGAGCCCTCTGAGGTTGGCAAACTCAGCACCAGCTGGGCCTCTCTGGCTCTTCCCCTTTGGATAGCCTCGTGGCCCAAGGTTCAGGGAGGGCTTTAGGCACTGGGCCACCTGCCCAGGCTGCCTACGGGAAGAGCCCCACACTGTACCAGATGGAAACGGGGACCCCAAAAGCTCACCAAAAGGGTCCTGCAGGCCCAAGGACAGTCTGAAGGCTTAAGAGCGCAGGGCACGTGGGAGGCTCAGTTGCTTAGCATCCAATTCTTGATCTCAGCTCAGGTCTTGATCTCAGGGTTACGAGTTTAAGCCCCGCATTGAGCTCCACACTGGGCGTGGAGCCTACTTAAAAAAAAAAAAAAAGACCCTGCAAGAGCCCCAGAAGCTCCAGCCTCCACTCATAGACCACCAATTGCCCCCAAAATCAAGAAGGGAATCCCATGCCACCGGCCTAAGCTCAGTCCCACAGTGACAGGCCCGTTCTACCACGGTCTGAGGTGGGGACAAAGTCTCCTCATGACATGAGGTGGGGTCAAGGGCCAGTAGCTCAGGGGACCTGAGCTCTTTGAAGAGATTCAGCCACAACTTTTTAAAGACTTTAATCATGACGGCAGGATACAGGTAACCGCTCGGCCTTCTTTTGACAGGCCCTATCACAGCAGCTCTGGAAAGTCCAGAGTGGCCCCAGGCAGGTGCCCGGGTGAAACGTGCCAGCACCAGCACCAGCACGCACCTTAACACGGCAGCCTTCCGAGGCCCAGCTCTATTTTGTGGGTGCCCGGAACACCCGAGTTGGTGGAACTTGCAGTTCAGAGTTTATCTGGAAAAGAAAGAGTACAGGTCGTTACGTTTTTCCCAGGGCCCTCCTTCTTCATGACCTCTGGGGGGCAGGTGCCCGTGTCAGCTCTCCTCAGGGCTCCAGCTCTGCAAGCATTTCCTCCCCATGTGCTTCCAGATGCTGGGGAAAGCCCACACTCTGCCTTCCTTCAGAAGAGAAGTCCTACGGCTTTTGGGTCGGCTTCTGCTCCAGCTAGCTGACCTCTGGTAACGTTCTGCACCTTCTGCTCTGAGCCACTCTCTGAAGTCCTCCGTCTCCCGTTCACCTGTGCGTCCCGCCCCCGGTCTAGCCCTGCCCTTCCCTGCACCTCCCCATCCTCTTGTGCGCAGCGGCATGGACGAAAGCGTGGGCCACACAGCCCTCGTGTCTGTCACGACACCAAGGCTTACCACATCCTCTGTTCAGCTGTGGCCTGGGGCCTGCGACCACGGCAGGGCCACACTCCCCGTTCCTGGGCTTGTGGCTGGCCTCAGTCACCTCTCCCACACACAGCTGGTGACGGAGGACCTACCCTCTGCCCGGTGTGTCAAGGCCCACGGCCTCAGCGCCACGTGCAGGATTCCACACTAGCAGAGCCGAGCCAGCCCCTTAGTGGATTCTAACCTTTGGAGCAGAGACTGGGGGATTTCTCCTCCGGCAGGCCATGGGGAAGTTGCCCCAACCATCACTGCAGTGATCGAGAGTGGGGACCAGGGACTATCTGTCTCACTTGGAGCTTCCTCTCGCCATGTCATAGCCCAGGCCGGACAACCTGGCCAGCAGGGTGGGAAGAGCCCAGGGCTCTGGGCACGTCACAGAGGCTTCCAGTTTTGATTCTCCTTTTTGGGAGAATCACCTGTGCCCTGTCAACTTCACAGAGGGGTTAGGAGCAAAGAAGAAACTTCATGAGGAAGGGCCCTGCGGCCTGTGACGCCATCACAGGCTTCGGCACCGCTTCCGAGGACGGTCCAGCAAGGAGCAGGCACCAAAAACCATGGCTTCCGAGGGGCACCATTATAGCCCAGACGACGTCCAGGAGGAGACTTCAGGCAATGTCCACCCCCTTGCCCGATAATTCTGTCCCAACCGGAGGTATGACTGTTGATATTTTACGTCACATCTCAACGCTCCCTTGCTTCTAGTGAGGGAAGAGACCCATTTCCTAAGAGGAGTCCCACTGCCTCCCTCAGCCTCCTGCCTACCCTCCTCGGAGGCTCCCTGTCACCCACCTTGGAATCTAGATACTTTTGAAGCAGCATCTGGAGCTCTGTGTTCTGCTGCTCCAGCGAGTTGTTTTCTATCAGCAGCTTGGCCCTCTGGGTCAGGATGAGGCTTTGGGCAGAAAAATCAGTTAGAGGCTCCCCGAATCCTCCTCCATTCTCGGCCAGGCCAGGATCTCTGGGTCTCTGTTCTGGTGGGAGGCGGAAGAGGAGCCCAGAAGCCTCACCCACCAGCGCAACCTTCCTGCGCTGAACGAACCAGGCGGGCAGGAACAGAACAGGAGGGCAGGGCCGCAGGGCCAGCCACCCAACGCCCCGCCCCAGGCCCCTTCGGCGGGAGCTTTCCTTCCAAAAGGCAGCTTTTCTCTCCAAACCAGGGAGGTGGCAAATGTGGCCATGGCAAGCAGGATCCTTCCCCACTGCCTGTCTGGCCCCCTCCTTCTGCACAAGGACATGTGGGCTTACTGGTATTTCTCCAGGGCCGTGTACAGAGCGTCCCAGAGGTTTTGCGTGGTGTCAGGGATAACCGTGGCCAGGGCCTCCCAGTACTCAGAGTCCTTCGAGTTATCCCGCACATACTTCAGCCTCACTGGTGCCCAAGAGTCCCTGAGGGTTAAGAGCAAACGTCGCACCGTCTCCATCTACCCCCCCCCCCCGCCGCCGGGGCCCCCACGCAGTGCCAGCCACAGAGCCCACCCCTCACAGACTCTCGCACTCCCACTGGTCACCTTCCCACTCAGCTATGCCAGTCTATCGGTTTCTGGCAGATTCTCTGAAAGGGCACACGACTATCATCAATGTTCCCGATTCCCGGAGCCATTGTCGCCTTTGTGACCGCATCCCTGGAGTTCTATCCCCACCCCTTCTCTCGGCCAGTTTTCCTCACTGGCCTTCCATGCTGCTACTATGTCCATTTCTTTCACTAATGCATCTAAAACCCCTCTCAAGATTCGGCTGCCCTCAAGGATAGCCTTGATCCGGGATATCATCACCTCCACCAGGACAAAGCCCCCGGCCGCTCTCCTGCGTCCAGCACCAGCCCCTCCCTGCCACCAAAGCAATCTTTCTAAAATGCAAGCCTAAGCGTGGCTCCCCCACTGCTCAAGACCATGTTCTGGCTCCGGTCCACCCAAGGGTAAAGACAAAGGTCTTGGACACAGTGGGCAAGGCTCTCTGAGATCTGGCCCCCCCCCCACCCACTGGCCACACTTCCCACGGAAGACCCTGACACCAGCCACACCTCTTGAACACACCCTTCCCCACACTGTGACACCTGAAATGGCCCTTCCCCCACTTATCCACCTAGCAAAACCCAGTTTGGGTGCCGGAAGCCCTCTCGGACACGCCACATGGGGTGGCCACTGCCTCGCCGGAGCAACAGGACACCTTGTTACGCTCTGGCCATCGTCCTGCTAACAAGGTGCAACCTCCACGGGGCAGCAGACCCCGTGACTGACCGCTGAATGATGGATGCATGAGAAAATGCAAATCGCTTCTACACCCCCTCCTTCCCTTCATGTCCGCGGATTCCTCCAGCCCTTCCCCATCACCCTTTCCTCCCCCCTCCCCAGCCTCTACACATGCGAGCATCTGCTTGGCCCCCACCTTCCCGGGGCCTCAGGCAAGCCCTCCAGCACCACACCTGGGTTTCTTTAGACCCATGACAAAGGCCTCCAGAATCTTGAGGACATCATTGGGATGGATGAGCCTGGAAGAAGGGGGGGCCTCCTTCTCTTCCGGCTCCCCTTCCACGAGGCTTTCCTCTTTCTGTCCCTCGAGGTCTGGCTGCTTTCCTGGCTCCAGCGCTGACAACAGGCTTGTTTGCTCCTGTGGGGGTGACAGATGCCAGGGGTTGAGCTGGAGAAAGGCGTAAGGGTGACTATGGATCGGGGGTACAGAGCAAGCATGAGTGTCTGAAGACAGGCAGATAGAGAGAAAGTGGAGAACAGTTTACAGAAAGTTACAGAAAAGATGCAAAGGGACACATTTACAGGAAGGAAGAAATGGTGAAAGAGTGCAGGATCAGGGAGAGGCACACGGGGGGCTTCCAAATAGTGCTGATCTTCTATTTCTAAATCGGGGCTCATACGTGTTCATTTTACTGATATTCCTAAAGCTGACACTATATATCTTTTTTAATCAAAAATCACAAACTACATTGTAATTTTTTAATTTAAAAGTCTTCCTCCTACTCCTGTCTCATAGTTCAGTTCACCTCCCATAGGGAAACCAACGTCATCAACGTCTTCCGCATCCTTCCGAAGAAAACCTCTGTCCATATGAGCAACGCCTTCCCTCCCGTTTTCACACGAATGATACTCTACCGCAGACACAGTTCTGCACTTGGCGTTTTTCACAGACCAATAAACCTTAGAGATATTTTCACGTAAAAATTATGTGAAGAACTGCTTTGGTCTGTTTTTTGCTGGTGCATAGTATCCCACTGTGTCGATGCACCACTGATGAGGTAATCGATCCTTTCATGATGGAATTAGAGGTTGTTTTCAACCTTCTCCCATTTCAGGCGCCATGGAAACCAATGAGCTACAATAAACACACCCTTTCATCTTGTTGAGACATAGCTGCAGGAAGAATTGCAGGGGCCAGGGCATACGGTGTTGTCACCCACACTGCACGCGGTGACAATGGGCTCTCACAGCAGTGACGGGAGCGGGTCTGGTTCCCACGCCTGGGCCGTCAGCATGTGTTATCCAACTCGCAGAGTCTTGCCCACGTGACAGGTGCAGATGGAATTTGGAACAGTTTGCATTTGCACTTCTCTTATCATAAGAAGCCTGGTTATCTTTTCATGTGTTTAAAAGTTACTCGTATTGCCTCTTGTAGGAGATTTTTTGTTCATATCCCTTGTCCTTTCCATTGAGTTGTTGGTCTTTTTCTTATTGGTTTATATGAGTTCTTTGTATATTAAGGAAATGGGCCCTTAACTGTGATATGAGTTAAAAACGTTCCCCCCGCCCCCAGCTGTCATCTGTATCTTAACTTTGCTTATAGTGATTTTTGCCCCACAGGGTTGGGGGTTTTTTGTTTTTTGTTTTTTTAATGTAGTCAAATAGATCCTATTTTTCCCCCTTTACGGCTTCTGGGTTTTGTTCATCCAGAAAATTCTTTTCGGAAGCATACGAGGATACTCACCCTGGAGCCAGCAATACGAAATGTATTTTTTAATTCAAGTTTTTAATTTTTAAATTAAAACTTTATAATATTTTTAACATGATGGCTTCTTCAGAATAGTCCATTACAATCAAGATGGGTATTACAGATGGGCCCGGCTTTGCAGGAAAGTGGTAAGGATCAAAATCTTCAGAGCTTGGTGGGCCCAGGGCTCCTAGGGGCTGAAGCCTAGCTTTGAGGAAGGGCCCAGGAAAAGACACTTTGGGCCTTAGTATGAGAACAGCCTCCCATCCCCCGCCATTCTTTCCCTTGCAAATAGAAAAAGTAATAGTGTGGGAAACACTAAGTTAGCTATCTTTGACATGAAACCCTCACTATCGCTCCACGAGTATTATAGAAAGGCAGCAATGCCCTCTGGGAGCTTCCAGAATTTCAAATGCTCTCTTTTTTATTGCATTTCACATTACCTGACTGGAGGGTGAATGATAAACTCGGTATTTGAGGAAGAAATTCACCAGTTTATACAAGTCGTCCTCACTTTCAATTCCAAGAGCCTGGGGGAAAATAGGAGAATTGCTCAAACACCACAGCAAGAAGTCCACCAGCTACCAGAGTTACCAGACCCTCAGCTCCTAAGAGCAGGAGGTTTGGCTGTTCCTCCAAACACCCCCAGCACCTGCCATGGCCCAGAGTGAGGCCACTCAACACCGGGGAAGCACAGTGAGATCACATCCGAGCAGAGAAACAATGCTCAGAGTCAGGAACTGCTCTGTACAGGCCTGGGGGCTATAAGAATGCTAGAGGAGGCTGGACACACATCCGAGTTTAGGGGTGCAGGGGAGAACCTACAGTCTGAGAGCCAGGCCATGAGAGAGAAGCTGGTAGAGGAAGGGTCAGGGCTGGGAGACTGGGTGGCCAATTTGGGGCATGGAGAACGAGGAAAGGGAAGGAGGTGACAGCAAGCCCAGGGAAGCCTGGGAGACCTGTACCTCTTCCCAGAGCCAAGGCAATGTTGGAAAAACAGAGGAGGCTGGCATAGAATGAGGCCCCCACCCCATCAACTCAGCCCGATGGGACTCACTGAGAAAATGGCGTCCAACTTCAGCAGATAGCATTCGTTCTTCTCCAGGGGAAGGAGAAGGCTCAGCAGCTTGCTCTCTATGAGGAAACCCTGGGAAGGAAAATGACATCTCTAGTCAGAGACAGGTTTCAGAAATGAGTGCTGGGTTTGCAGCCCACCTCTGTGTAACTATCAGCGATGACTCCACAGAGCAGGACCCCAGCGATGAGACTTTGGGCGGCAGGACCCCAGAGGAAGTCCTTCCTGGGACGCCTGAGAGCCCTTCCCGGACACAAAGCCAATACTCATCATGGATGAAGGGTGCTGGCTCACCTCACCCAAAAGCCCCTGGGCAAATGGCTAAGTTCCCCAGAGCCGCCCAGACCTGCTCCAGTCACAGATTCCCGCCCTCGCCACGTCACCTTGCTCAGAGGCTAGCCCTCCAATATCTGTAGACCAGGGCGGCAGGCACCGAGCTGGGGGAGAGGGAGGGAGGCATGGTGGGGGAGGGGCACACCATATCCCGGCACGGTGCACAGGAGGTGGGCGGCGGGTGGGGACACTGGGCGCCCAGCACCCACTCTGAGCTGGGAAGGCCTGGGGGAGGGCTGCGTGACAGGTGGCCACTGGCAGCAAGCCTGCAGAGGGCCGGAGGGGTGGGGGAGCACCTGCCTACTGCCTCTTTCAGCAGGAGCCGCCCTCAGGGACAAGAGCCAGCTCTTGGCCCAAGAAAACTGTCCCACGGGGATGGGAAGCTGCCAGTCCTGGCTACACCTCTTTGACTCATCTCAGAAATGCAGGATCATGCACCAGTCATGTTCCTAGAACACCTCAACTCCTAGCTGAGCCACCTCCAACACCCTTTACACGAAATCCAGTGGGTCTTGCTAATATACAGTATACAGCTATCCAAAGCCTGACACACCCCGAGAAATCACAAACTGAGCTCCCGGGGTAAGGCCACGTCAGCTGTGGCCACACCACTCGGCAGGTGGGTTCACAGAGGGGAGACTGGTGCCCCTTCTCTTGCAGACTCAGCCTCTTTTTTTTTTTTTTTTTTTTAATTAGCAGGAGCCGGGGGCCAACTTGGCCCACACCTTGCTGACCCACTAAGGGAAGACCCGTTGGCCAGCCGGGGGCAGCTCTGAGGCCAGGCCTCTCGTGAACCAGCCCAGCTCTGCTGCTCAGTGCTTGTGCCCTCCTGCCTGGCCGGGCCAGCCTGGGCCGCAGCAGCACGGGAGAAGCAAGGGCAGGGAGCCACCGGCCAGGAGTCCCTCCGGCGCAGCCCCACGCGGCCGGCCTCACCGACTCGTCACACAGGAGCATCAGGATCTTTCTGGTAGTTTTTGGGGAAATTTGCTTCGGCAGGTCGAGGTAAGACTCTGCTTCCGAGGCGGCCTCCTCGGTCTCCTCCTCTTCTGCAGATGAGGCGGAGAGAAGAGAGAGTGGGAGAGAAAAGGGAGATCATTGCTTGGCTTTCTTGACTTTGAGCAACAAACTGCTTTCCTTGAGAAAATTTACCTGTTAAAAAGCCTCTTTAAGGCCCTATGGAGTCTCCTTAGCTGAAGAAAGCCTAGTACGTGGCAAAAACTGGGAGGCTGGGGGTTGGATATGAGACTAACGGGAGAATTCTGCCATTCTACAAAGCTTCGCTGTTGTAAATTTCATCTCCCTGACAACATCATACTCAAAATCCAGCCACGACCAGGAAGCAGAAGGGAGAGTATGAACCTATTTATTCTCACTTTAGACAACTATCTAGAACATCTGCTAGGTGGTTTCTAAACCAGCAGCAGATCAGACGTAGCCAACTAAACCGTGGTCCAAGTGGTGGCCTCACTTCTCAGCAAGAACTGGTAGCTAATAGCAAGAGCCAAACATTTTAATTAAAATTAGAAATTTAAAAATGTTTTATACTATATATACCTCATCTGAAAATAGTCACAAAAAATCATTGTCCTACCAGGTTTTACTAGTTGTTCAAAAGATAAAATGAGATAATGTAAATGAAGATATTTTGGAAAAGTACAAGATACCATCTTGCTGGTGGAAAGCAAAATGGTCCCATCCATATGGAGCAATATCCAGCAAAACTACAGAGGCATTTACCCTTTGATCCAGCAGTCCCACGTTTAAGGATCTATCCCAACAATTTGCCAGGAAAAATATGCAGACACAAATGCACAGAACTATTTGTTGCAGCAATGTTTGTAAGAGCAAAAACAAACAAACAAAAACCCGGAAATATCCCAAGTGGCCACCAACAGAACACTATCTGAATAAGTTATAGCTCAGCCACACAACAGAATACCAAATAAAAACGGCATGAAGAATGTGTCTTCTTACTACTATAGACTGACCTCTAGGATACTTTGTAAGTGAAAAAAGCAAGATGGAGAAAAGCATATGCTCTCATTTAAAAAGTGGGTCTAGAGTGCCTGGGTGGCTCAGAAGGTTAAGCATCTGCTGATCCCACGGTCCCGGGATCGAGCCCCGCATTGGGCTCCCTGCTCAGCGGGGAGCCTGCTTCTCCCTCTCCCTCTGCCTCTGCTGTTGCCCCTGCTGGTGCTCTCTCGCTCTCTCTGTCAAATAAGTAAATAAAATCTTTTAAAAAAATAAAATACATAAGAAGTGGGTCTATATAAATACAAACAAATATATATACACATTTGTTTTTAAAAGCAATGGAAAGATAAACCATACACTTTTAGATAGTTACCTACAGAAAGGGGGTAAAATCGAGTGAGAGGGTAAGACTACACTTCCTCCAGGATCCCTTGTTTCGTACACTTGACTTCGGAAGCATGTAACGATTTTACATAACTATAAAACAAAATTAAATTGTAAAAAGCAATCCCTAACAATCAAAAGTAAAACAAAACAAAAAGACCTAAGCATGTATTCGGTTGGTGACATAACCAAATAGAAACTATTCTAAGTGACTTTAAAAGACACCAATCGGGGTGCCTGGGTGGCTCCGTCAGTTAAGCGTCGCCTTTGGCTCCGGTCATGATCCCATGATTGGGCCCCATGTCGGTCTCCCTGCTCAGCCGAGGAGTCTGCTTCTCCCTCTCCCTCTGCTCCTCGCCCCTGCTCGTGCTCTCTCGTCACTCTCTTTCTCAAATAAATAAAATCTTTTTAAAAAATTAAAAATAAATAAAATAAAAGACACCAGTCTGGGGATGGGGGTGGTGGTGGCTGAGTGACTCGGTTGGTTGAGCATCTGACTCTCGGTTTCAGCTCAGGTCATGATCTCAGGGTTGTGAGATTGAGCCCCACGTCCAGCTCCGCACTCAGCACGGGGTCCGCTTGTCCCTCTCCCTCTGCTCCTCCTCCAGCTCGCTCTCTCTCAAATAAATAAACAAAATATTTTTTAAAATAAATAATAAAAGACAGCGATCTGTCTGTACATCCCTAGTGGAATGTGTCCTAAGAGTAAAAAGAACTTCAAAAAAGTTTAAACAATTTTTAGTATTCATTTGTTAGTGGTAGGTTGATATTTTATTCTGCAAGTGTTCTGTGGTTGTGGGAAAAGCAATGAGTAATTATTTTGGAGTCACTGTGCACCAAGATTTTCAAGTTAGGAGAAAGGAGATATACTTTGATAAAGTTAAGTAAAAATTCTGTCATCCTGATGATTAGGAAGTGTCAGGATGAACACATGATTTATTTTATGCTGAAAATGTAATTCTACACGCTATGCTCATCCACTAGGAAGGCCTAGGAATTGACCCATCCCAAACAATGAGGACTCCAGCTCCCAGACTATGGTTTTGAAATACCATTCCCTTTAAAAGGACCAGGTCTCCTCGACCTTGAGAAATGGCTGATTACAGACTTGAAGCAGGAAACATATAATGTGAGACTGGAAATCCGGTCATTCTGGAAAGCCAGGACGCTATCAACGACTACTGCGGTTGTGTCAAAAGGACCCAGAAGCCAACATGAAGAGACTCCCACTGGCCAAAGATGGGACAATGTAAGTATCAGTAAGGGTAATAAGTGCAGTAAACCGAAACACATCAAATTTGTTTAAATCTAATGTGTTCATAACGGTATTTACTTTTTTGTTTGTTTATTTATTTGACAGAGAGAGTGCGTGGGGTTGGGGGGGGCAGAGGGGGAGGGAGAGAGAGAGAAGCTCAAGCAGACTCCAAGCTGAGCACAGAGCCCCATGTGGGGCTCGATCTCACGACACTGAGATCGCCACCTGAGCTGAAACCAAGAGTCAGATGCTTAACCAGCTGCACCACCCAGGTGACCAGTGATATTTATTTTATAAAACGTTACTGGTCACCTTTGGAAGATGCTAGAGACCCAGCCCATTTATTTTGAAAACTAGTAAATAGAGAAAGAACAGCATCTATCCTATACGAGCTGTGTCTCAGGGTAACAAATAGCTAATAAGGGAAGATTCTCTTTTCAGAAGTGGTCCAGCTAATAAATGAAGACATATGATAGAATTTAGAATATCGCCATTTTGCAACCCCTAAGGCAATTAATGGATCTTAGACAATGACTACCAACGGTTGCTCGCCTCCCAAAGAGAGAGACAAACTGCCATTAGTTTATCCCAATGGAGGTAACAACAATGTATTCAGCAAAACTAAACTAAGTCTGAATCTGATCAAGCTTCTAGATCGAACTACCAGATTATAATAACAGGGAAGAGGGTAAAGCTATCAATTAAATTACAGATTTAAAAGCCACAACTATGGACCTTCCAGCCACAAGACCTCCTCCCCCTTCTCTGGACTTCAGTTTGCTCATCTTTGAAATGAATGGGTTGACCTGATGGTCTGACAGGCCCCCAGCTCTGGGGCTCTAGGACTCTAGGATGCCATTCCAGTCACCTGCTTGCATCAGCACCTCTTCTAATATCTGTGTGGCAGACTTCCGCGGCTGCTGAGATATAGGTCCCACATTCCTCAGGAACCAGAAATCAGGTGCCGTCCAGGGGAGCCCCAGATGATGGGTATGAATGATCCTGTCTACACCAAAGGCTCTGCTTATCAGATCCTTTGCCTCCTCTTCATTCATCAGCCAAATCTCCCGAAACTGCTTGTCATCAATAAGAGCAAAATGCCTGTGAAGGAGAGTTGCTCAGCATGGCCAGCAGAGCCTGGGGCCTGGCCAGGGTCCCCTCCATGAGCAGTAGGGCGAGCATGGAGGTGGAGCTGGGGTGCACCCCGGTCCCGGGTCGCCGGCCCTCACCTATGACAGACTGGAGGTGGTCCCCACACATCTCAAGAAAAGGCAGGGGACATGCGAGTAAAGGGACAGGAAAGACAGCACAAAGGACTCTTCATGCCTGGGCCCACCTCTATCTAGGGCACGTGCCTTGGGACCCAGGTCCCTAAAATACCGCATGGATTTCTGTAGCTCCTTGAATTGCGTCACAAGGCGTTTGTAGTCGGAGGTCAGCGACTGGTTCTCCTCCTGAAACTGCTTGATCTGTTTGGCATATTTTGATCTCAGATTGTTGAGGGTATCATGCAGGCTGCCGGGCAGAGGGGACAAAGTTCATCTGCAGCTGAACAGAAGCTGTGGTGTCTGCTCCCCTCAGCGACTTCACACAACTCTCCAGCCCCCAGGGTCAGAGTTGTGCAGGTGCAGAAAACCCTCCCATTTATTCCCAAACCCAGCGGCTCCGACTGTGATCGAGGAAACGAAGGCCACAGGAGGTAAGGGGATCGTCCAGGACTTAACTCATTTACATCGGTCCAGAAGCCCTGACCCACGCAGGGGCAGTCTCCTACTCAGGACTGTGCCTGAATCCTCCCCCAACATGCCACCTGTGAGCGTGTCTGTATCAAGTGCCACCTCACATCTTTAAAGGGCACATCTCAACTATTTCACTGCCATGATTTGGATGTTCATTTCCCATCTAAAACAAGGAAAATAGAAACGGAAAACTTAAAACTTCACACCACAAGTCTGTGAGATATGAGCCCTCCATCCTCAGAGAGCTGCTACTGTTCATGAGTCCGATAGTTCATTCATGCACTCCCTCATTCATCAAACATGGAAGGTCTCTTGCCAGGGGTATGTTGGACTACAGCAATGAATACAAGGATATGTTCGAACAGAAGGCACGATCAGTCAAGCCAGAGGCAAAGACACACTCATCACAGTGGAGCGTGAAAGTGCTGGGGGAGGGGGGGCACTTTACACAGGATGCCGGCGAGCCCAGAGCTGAGGCATGGAACTCACCCTCCAGGGGAGTGGCCGAAGGTTCCAGCACAGTAAGGGACAGTGATAGCCTGGCCAATGGCCCTGTGAGCCCAGGCACGTCACAGCTCCCCATCCCACTGCTCTGGGAGCTCTCTCTGTGCATGGAAACTTGCCTCATGAAATATGCACGGCAGGCACAACTCTTAGACCCAGGACCATATGTCAGACTTCAAACCCGTGAAGAGGTGTCTTATGTCAGTGCCCCATTTACACAGGAAGACAGACTCTGAAGGCCTACATATTTTCAGTTTAAAAATTCTCAAGATAGGGGCACTTGGGTGGCTCAGTTGGTTAAGTGTCCGACTCTTGATTTCAGCTCAGGTCATGATCTCGGGATCCTGGGATCGAGCCCCGCATCGGACTCTGTGCTCAGTGCAGAGTCTGCCTGTCCCTCTCCTTCTGCCCCTCATTCCCCTTCCACCCCACTCGTCTCTGTCTAAAATAAATAAATAAAATCTTTAGATAAAAATTCTAAAAATAAAATTTTCCCTCTTAAGAATTATTCTGAAATAAGCATAGGGTCCCTAAACACACAAACATCATCCTTTGTGTTTTCAGCCTCAATAAAATGCAAAAATCACTTAGGCTCTGATAAAAAGCAGTATCTAATCCATTTTCTTTTTTTTTTTTTAAAGATTTTATTTATTTATTTGGCAGAGAGAGACACAGTAAGAGAGGGAACACAAGCAGGGGGAGTGGGAGAGGGAGAAGCAGGCTTCCCGCCGAGCAGGGAGCCCGATGCGGGGCTCGATCCCAGGACCCTGGGAGCATGACCTGAGCCGAAGGCAGACGCTTAACGACTGAGTCACCCAGGCGCCCCTCTAATTCATTTTCTTAACTACAACACTCTAGGAGATTTTCCACATATAGGTGGAAAAAACTGCATTAAGAAAAAAAATTATTAAGTAGCTATCCCAAAGTATTTTTCCCCATGTCACTTAGCAAAGGGGTTTCTATGTGTCATCTAACCATAGAAGCTAATAAAACAGAAATCAACTCTGGGTGCATGCTGCAGGTCTGGGCAAGGTAGGAAGACAGGAAGTAGACAGGATGGGTGACTGCAAGAGGAGGCTCAACAAAGCGTCCCATCCTTCGTGAATGGCTAGAAGCTAGAGAGGGAGGGGACAGCGCGGGGGGGGGGGGGGGGTGAAGGAAGACTGGGAGGGTAGGCAAGCTGGGTTTCAAAACTCGTCCCTCGGCAGTGACAGCAACTGTCCAAGCTGAAATATCTTTTGGCAGTCCCAGATAAAGTGAGGAGGTGAGGTCAGGATTAGGGATATGTAGCTGGGGGTCATTGAGAAAGAGGTCATCATTCAGGGGGCGCCTGGGTGGCTCAGTCGGTTAGGCATCCGCCTTCGGCTCAGGTCGTGATCTCAGGGTCCTGGGATCGAGTCCCGCATCGGGCTCCCTGCTCCGCGGGGAGCCTGCTTCTCCCTCTCCCCACCTCCCCCCACTCATGCTCTCTCTCTCAAATAAATAAACAAAATATTTTTTTTTAAAAAGAGGTCATATTCAAAGCCATGAGACTGGTGTAGAGGGTGGATGGAATAAAAATATAAAGCAAAGGGGTAAGATGCTTTCTAGAATATCTAATCGGGCAAGAGAAAGCAGAACCACCAAAGGAAACCAAGTAGGAATACACTGAGAAAGAAGAACAAATATTTTAGAGTCATAAAAGCCAAAGGAGAAAAATTCTGAGATTCAGTGCCAATAACAATAGGATGAGACCTGAGGAAGAGCCGTGGTTATTTGGCTAGAAGGACATCACTGGTCACCTACAGAGGGAAGTGGTTGTCCAATTCTGGGGTCAGACGTCAAATTACTAGTGTTGGAGGGGAGGGGAGGGGCTGGTGGCAAGAGGAAAATGGCCAAGCAAGCAAGAAGAGAAACAGCCTCACCCAGGAGCAAAAGGGTTGGCTGAAGGGTTTTTTAGGATCAGGGAAACTGCGCGTGCTTGAAGTCAGTGGGAAGAGCCAGGGAAGGGGTGGTGGGGATGATGCCACTCATCTTTCTGCCCTTGGGATCAAACCCAAGGTCTGTCTCACATACCTCTGCCCACCCCCCATCCTACCAACTCCCCTCTCCCACAGTGCAGTCTCTTTCATCAACGGTGGAACTCTCGTCTTCCTACTTTCTTGTCTTCAGCCCTGCCCTTCATTCCCGGCTCTGGCAGCGTCTACCCTGGAGCCCTAACTCCTTTTTACCAATTCACATCCTTCCCCCCTTCGCTATTTCACTTCTTCAGGAAGGCTTCCCAGAGAACTCCTCACGAACTGTACAGATTTGTGGCTGTCACAGATAGATGGAGAGAGGGAGAGAGAGAAAGGAGAGATCTAGAAAGAGACACACTACACAATCTCTGGTGGTAGGAATATGGTGTTTTATGGTTTTGGGGTTTTTTTTAAGATTTTATTTATTTATTTATTTATTTATTTATTTATTTATTTGACAGAGAGAATGAGAGAGCAAGCACAAGCAGGGGGAGAGGCAGACGGAGAGGGAGAAGCAGGCTCCCCACCAAGCAGGGAGCCCAACACGGGGCTCGATCCCGGGACCCTGAGATCATGCCCTGAGCCGAAGGCAGACGCTTAACTGACTGAGCCACCCGGGCGCCCCTGTTTTTATGTTTTTATCTTACTTTCACGTGTGGTGCTTCCTGCTTCTCTAAAACGCACAGTACTGCTTCTGTGATAACAAGTGGAGAATTTGTCCTACAGAGAGCTCTGCGCATCTGCAGAGCGAGACCCTGGCATGAGTACCTACACTGGTATCATTTGCAGTAGCAAAAGATTAGAAGCAATCTAAATGTCCATCCACAGGGACATTAAATCATGTGAAAGCTCTTTATGAACTGATATGGAAACATTCAAGACACAGAAAAGTGTGTATAGAACATATAGAAGGCTATCATTTGGTCTAAAAACAGAGGGGGTGGTGAGAGTATTTATCTGTGTTTGCTTGTATGCGGTTAAAGAAATTCTGGAAGAAATAAAAGAAAAGAACAATTCTTACAGAGGTGGGAAAGAGGTACCACACAAAATGGGGAGACGGACTTTTTGCTGTACATTCTTTCATAGGGGAGGTGGTGGAGCAGTTGAAAGTATTATCTTTTCCCCAAAAACTCTTTTAATAAGACTTAGTTATATTGTTACCAGCTCGCACTCCTCCGGAAGGGGAGAGGTCAGCCCCATCCGCATTTTCAGCACAGCAGGGCTGATGTTCTGCATGCTCGCTTACCGATTGATCTTCCTCTTCTGCTGGGATTTGATCACTGTGCTCTCTTCGTCCCTCTTCTTCAGCACCTGGAAGTTGTACTCCAACTTCTCTTGGTTTAGCTGATAAGTTGCTTTCATCTGCTGAAGCTGTTGCTCAAGAACCTAAGGTTTAAAAAATAATAATACTCACTGGCCCTGGTATCACTGTTTGTACCTGAGGGTCCCTGATTCTTTGTTCTGGAGTCATGTCAGAGGAACCGAAGGGACAAGTGCCTCCACCTGAATTCTTAGAAAATCTGTGATTAGAGGCAAATGAAAGGCCAACCAGAAAAAAAGAAAATATCCATCATTCAGGCACCTGGGTGGCTCGGTTGGCTAAGGGTCTGCCTTTGGCTCTGGTCATGATCTCGGGGTCCTGGGATCAAGTCCCACATCAGGCTCCCTGCTCACTGGGGAGTCTGCTTCTCCCTCTCCCTCTGTGCTCTCCCTCTCTCTCAAATAAATAAATGAAATCTTTAAAAAATATATCCATCATTCAACTGCAAGCTTAAAGCCTCTGTCCCTAAAGCCTGAGAGAGATGACATTTAGAGCCTCCAGTCTGGTCCCCTCTGGTGCTGAGCACCAGACCCTCTGGAGATACACATCACCCCACCAGAAACACCACACAAGTTCATATTGCCACAGAGGTGTCCCCACTCATGTACCCAGCATGTCTAACTGAGACCTGGAAAATGAGTAGGAGTAGCTCAGGTGGACACCTCAGCGGACAGAGCTCCAGAGGGGCATGGGAATGAGGTGCTTTGGGGAAACCACGAGCAGAGTAGGGTGTGAGGTATGAGGCAGGAAATGGTCAGAAAAGAGGCTGGTAGAGCAGCAGGGCAGTAGAGAAAGATCACTCTGGGGGCGTCTGGGGGGTGCAGTGGTTAAGCGTCCGACTCCCGGGTTTCAGCTCAGGTCCTGATCTCAGGTTCCTGAAATCGAGCCCTACATTGGGCTCCACGCGGTCTGCTTGGGATTCTCTCTTCCTCTCCCTCTGCCCCTCCTGCTCATGTTCTTTCTCTCTCTCTAAAATAAATAAATAAGTCGAAAGAAAGAAAGAAAGAAAAGAAAGAAAGAAAGAAAGAAAGAAAGAAAGAAAGAAAGAAAGAAAGAAAGAAAGAAAGAAAAAGAAAGAGAAAGAAAGAAAGAAAGTCACTCTGACAGTTAAAAAAAAAAAAATGTCAAGAGCAAGACAAGGCTAGAGGCAGGGCAAATAAAGGCAAGCTTGCTCCGGCCTTTCCTGAGTGGAAATGCAGGAACAGAGGATGTAATTAAGTGTGATCAGAGCTTGACAGGCAGGGACATGTGACATGTGGCACTCAATCAAGCCTCCTTCCCCCATCTCCTTCCACGCAGCTACAGAGCCTTGCCAAGGAATCAACTTAGGAAGTGAGTCCAGACAGCGTTCCCCTCCCGGCTCTGGACCATCCTCAAGGAGGGTAACTGGCCAGGAGGTGATGCAGAGGAGAACAAAGGCACTGGCATGGATAAGTGAAACAATTAGTCAAGAGTACCCTGTTTAACTATCCCAGAGAGTTCTAAATCTCCATTATGGGCAGGTAACTCACAATGATTTATGCCCTCGTGCTCCAAACAAAACCAGCCCTGGACATCGGGAAGGCCACTGACCTAGGAGGTGGCTCAATACAAAGTCCAATAGAAAAGCTCCTTGTTGGATGGAGATAACCTGGGAAGGTACAAACACTCTCCGGAGTTGCTCTGACTTGGACCGACAGTGAGTGGCTGAGACCCCAAGTGCCTGGTGTTTGCTTGATGACGTCCAGGGACCTCCCTTTTCTCGTAGCCTTGCAATAAGCCCCTATCACTAAGACAGCATTTCCCAAACTTATTTGGCCATAGAACAGTTTTCACATTTATAAGGAAGTGAGACCATGTGAGTTACAAATGCAAGCTCTAGCCCATGAGTGTTCACGTAAATTTCATTCCTGAAGGCAGATTATTAGATAATACTAACTATGGAAACCGACTCTCTCTTTATCCTACATAATACATCTTGAAAGGAAAAAAAAAATCACTGACTCACTTTTTTTGTTAGTTTTGTGAAACCACCACTCGTACCTCACCTAGCTCAACACAGTTCACAAAACTCTGAACTAATTAGGCCATGTCTTTTTCTTTGTGACCTGAAAGAACTCACATCTGAGCTGATTTTATAGGCAAAACAACAAACAAAGAAACTCTGTCACCTGCCGGTTCTAATTTGCACTTCTTTGCTTGCGCTTGTTGTTCATTATTTATTAGCCCATTTTATTTTCTCTTGTGGAGCGCACCTGCTCCTGCTCTTTGCTAGAATATGTTCCTAGGAGACTGATGCATGGAAGGACTAGCAATGCAACATGCACTGTGGGCTTTCCATCTCTAGGGGATCACAGATCAGCTGCTCCGTCACCCCAGCTCTGGTCCAAGACATGTGGCACTCAATCTACCGCCTCCACAGTCGCAATGCCCTTTGGGAGTTATTGGCAGTGCTGTCAATGAACGTGCAGAACTAACAGTCTTGTAGTCTCACCCAAGAGAGTCTACAGCAGGTGGCTGCACGAATTATGTGACTCATTATTTGTTTTCAACACCTTCTGCTCAAGATAATTTTGGTACCGGTGACTCTTGTCAATTATTTCAGGGTTTAGTCTCAACATGCAGCCATCCTTGGTTGTCATATGTTGAAAATAGTTTTATATTTTAAAATTGTAACTGATTTTGTTAACTGTCTGCGCTTATTCTTCAATGATCCGAAGATATTGCCGCGAAGCTGTACTTTATGTTCCCAAGACTAATGGCGAAACGTCGTGTTCAGGTTTTGTGAATAATTCATAAAGATTACAATCCAACCTGCCACAAAAGGCCGTCAGTGTAATGGTACATTACATTACATGTATGTACATTACATTACATAATATGGTACATTACATTGATCCCACCTTCCTGTTCTTCCTGCGTCAGTACAAGCGTCTCCACAGCTGCTTTGCACGCCACCTCTTGCCCCACAAGCTCCAGAAAACCAGCTGCCACCATCACCCCAAGTAGAATGGATATTTGAAACAGTCTTTGCCCTGGTCCTGTGGGCTGACCTCAGAGATCCTGCCGGGCCTTTTCACCTCCACTCTCAGGAACTGTGCCTTGTTTATCTTTGCACTTTGCACAATGTAAGTTCACGGTATTTGTTAAATAAGTAACTTGCATTTGATTTTTGTGATTAATATTCTGGTATTAAAGGTAACAGTCCCTGAAGTTGAACCCTAAACCATTTTACAATTTTAAAAGCACAAGTAGGACCTAAAGGAAAAAGCATTTGTTTCCTGCATCAAGAACTAAGTGTTTCTAGTAGTGTTATTTTGGGGCAGTGGGAGGGTATGGTAAAATCCTTCTTGAGTGCATAATGTTTACAGGCATTTTTTTTTTCTTGCTCACTAAGAATGTCACCTTACTGGCAGTAAGTACTCGGAAAGTATACGTTCTCTTTTTTACTTCTTGTACTTTACCCATCAAACCAAATCTCTGTGTATTGGATCCTTCGGATTTTTGCGATTTGCAAAACTTTTAGTTCTACATTTTAGAACCGATACAGTGCTATGAATTACTTAGGAAGAGCAAATTTGATGTTGAGCTGTATCTTCTTGACAAAAACCGATGCTATCTGACTTTACTGTCTAGTGAAGTACACCTAAGTGGCATTATGATCAAGTTCGATCTACTAAAATACCCCACATATGGTAATAATGGTAATCCCTGATTAGATTATCTGTTCCTAGTTAAAGGGTAATGTGGGACAGTATACTCCTGCTTTCCATGCTAACGCAGGAAAGAACCACTGTGCACAGGAACTGCACACAATGCCCCGCACTGAATCTCTCCGTCTGCCTGCCTCCCACATACCCACACTCTACAGGTAGTCCAACTGGACAGGGGAAGCCAGGAGACGCGGGTCTCCTGGGCTCTCTGCCTCTCCATCCCTCACTTCCCTAGGCTTCCATCACCCCTCACCCCCAGAATCTCCCCACGTCCCAGAATTTTTTGACTTTGTTCAAGTATTTGAGGATTAGATTAAGAATGTGAGGTTCTACTCCTACAACTCAATAGCAAATAATAATAATAATAAACTACCTGATCAGAAGACATACAAATGGCTAATAGGTTTACGAAAGGTGCTCAACGTCACTACTTATCAGGGAAATGCAAATCGAAGCTACAAAGAGATATCACTTCACACCTCTTAGGATAGCCATTGTCAAAAAACCAATGACGACAAGTGCTGGCAAGGATATGGAACAGGAAAGCTCGTGCACCAGATGGTGGGAATGCAAACTGGTGCAGCCACTCTGGAAACAATACGGAGGTTCCTCAAAAGATAAAAAATAGAGCTACCGTTTGATCCAATAATCCCACTTCTGGATATAGATCCAAAGGCACTGAGATCTGGATCTTGAAGAGATGTCTGCACACCCGTGTACATTGTGGCATATTCACAACAGTCAAGAGATAGAAACAACCTAAATGTCCATCAGTGGACTAATGGGGAAAGAAAATGTGGTTTAGGCATATCATGCAATCTTCCTCAGCCTTAAAAAAGGACAATCTAGGGACACCTGGGTGGCTCAGTTGGTTAAGCGTCTGCCTTCGGCTCAGGTCATGATCCCAGGGTCCTGGGATCGAGTCCCGCATGGGGCTCCTTGCTCAGCAGGGAGCCTGCTTCTCCCTCTGCCTGCCGCTCCCCCTGCTTGTGCTCTTCTCTCTCTCTCTCTCTCTGACAAAAAATAAATAAAAAATCTTAAAAAAAAAAAAAAAAGGACAATCTACCATTTGCAACAACGTGGATGGACCGGGAGGACATTATACTAATAAATGAAATAAGCAAGACACAGAAAGACAAACGCTGCATGGTCTCACTTGTATGTGGGATCTAAAATAGTCAAACTGGGGGAGGGGAAGGCGGGAGGAGTTGGTCAGAGCGCACAAAGTTTCAGTTATGTGGGATGAATAAGTTCTGGGGATCTAACGGTACAACAGAAGGTCTTTGAGTAACAATGCTGTTATTGTGTATTTAAAATTGTGTCAAGAGAGTAGATCTTGTGTTATGTGCTCTTAACACAAAAGAAAAAACAACAAATAAAAGAACATGAGTTTCCATTATTTCACTGTTGGAGGTCAGCAGTGTGTAGTTTTGTCCCATAAATTATTATAAAACCAAAATGACTAAAGAAAGCTTAACAATAGCCACTTTCACTAAAAGTGTCGTGTACACAGCCCACATACGCAGCGCTGCTCTCAGACTTCCACTGTTCCTTGTCAGTGCCTCTCGTTTCCGTGCCATTAATATGAGAAAGGCCCAGGAACATTCTCAAGACTGGTAAGAATATCTGTAGTCTGGAGGGGCTTTGATTCCACCTTGTTACATAAAGCCACAACAGTAGTAGGTCCTGAAATTCTATCACAGGCTATGTGGAAAAGCTTTAGTCTAACAAGTTTTTCTAGACAGAAACGGAAATGAATAGACTGTGCTGGAATATGAAGAGGTAATTACATCACACCTAAATATAATTAGAGATGAGCTTTTTTTAACTAACTTTGAAGCACAGAATCCTAGGCTTGGAAAGAACTTCACAAACCAGAAAATCTAACCTCCTTCCACTGCAAGAATCCTTCCTCAGCATTGAAGACAGACATAGTCATGCCGCCTTTAAATACTTTATGAGATAGAAGGCTCCTTGTTTTGTGGAATGACCCTTTTCTATATTGGATAGTTCTAACTATTAGAAAGTTCTTTCCGGGGTGCCCGGGTGGCGCAGTCGGTTAAGCGTCCGACTCTTGGTCTCAGCTCAGGCTGGGATCTCAGGATTGTGAGACCCAGCCCCACGTCAGTCTCCATGTTCAGCACAGAGTCCACTTGGGATTCTCTCCCTCTCTCTCTGCCCCACCAGAGCATGTGCTCTCTCTCTCTCTCTCTCAAATAAATCTTTGGAAGAAAGGAACAGAGGGAGGGAGGGAGGAAGGGAAGAAGGAAGGAAGGAAGGAAGGAAGGAAGGAAGGAAGGAAGGAAGGAAGGAAGGAAGGAAGATCTTTCTGATGGCAAGTCGGATCTGCCTTACTGCGATGTCCAACCATCAGCCAGAGGCTATTTAGAATATTAGGAACATTATAGGCTATTGAGCCAGACAGAGCTGGGTTTGAATCCAGGGCCTACCATTTGCCAGGTAAGTAGCCTATTTCCTGACATATAAAATGTGGTCAGTGATTCCTCCCTTCCGTGTTAGTATGAGGACTAGAGACACTGTGTCTTAAGTGCCTAGTTACTCACTAGATGGTGGCTGTTCTGCTTTGGTCCTGACACACAGATATGATCATTTGAAAGAAAGCAGATAATGAATACATATCTGTTGCATGGACTAACTCTAGAACATTCTGGGCAGTCACCAAGGATACAACATGCACGAGTACTCTGCTCCGCCACCCAGACGCCGAAGAACGAGTCAGACCTGCACATCCTGCTCCAGTTTGATCTTGATCATGTTGTACTCTTCCCAGTCCCATATCCTCTGCCTGTTCAGCTGCTTCTCATAGTCCTCTACTTTCTTGATGCGGTTCATAAGATACTCCAGCTGAAGGCACAAGAAGACAAGAGGAAGGTCAGCCCTATCCCCGTCTTGACTCAATCCTTCCAGTGGCCTGACAAGCATGACACACTGAAGGGTCTCCAAGTGTCATGAGTCTGGAGTGAGTCAGTCGGTCCTCAGAAGCTCCTGTGCCCCAAGGCTTTGTATTGTTACCTTACTCTGGAGCCTCCTAACTTGAGAAACTCCAAGAGGATTGCTCCATTAAGAAATTAGCCGTGGGCCCTGTGATCAGACATTTGTATTTCTCAAAAAAAAAAAAAAAAAAATAAGAAATTAGCCGTGGGCCCTGTGATCAGACATTTGTATTTCTCAAAAAAAAAAAAAAAAAATCCACTGGATCTTGGTCAAGCTATTTCTTTGTTCTTTATGTCTCTGAAGTAAAGTGATAACCCCCACACCCTTTAAAACATCTTCCTGGGTCACACATATCCGTGCCTGGGGTAGAAGCCTGGGAACAAAGAAGAGAGTGACAGGACCACGGGAACCCCAGTGAGCTGCAAAGGAAGGTGGTATTCACAGCTACCAGAAACAAATGTCACCACCAGAGACAGCCGCCACCCACAGGGCCACACTGACTAACCATGAAGTGCAGTAGTAAAGGTCTGCCATGGCAATCCTCCCCAAGATACAGATTCAGCAGCTATTGCCCCAGACTCCATGGATCACCCTTGACACAGCCACCATGCCCTCCCCCACCCACTGCCCCTTTACCTCTTTGGTATTGTGAGCCTGCAGGGCCTGCTCCCATTTCTTCTTATTACTGGTCAGCAGGTCCCGTCGTTCTACCTCAAATGCTTTCTACGACCAAGAAGGAAGAGGGCTCTTGTGTCTGTTTTGATTGGGCAGGTTCCACAGTATGAAAGAACTCGTAAGTATTTGCACAAGATGCCATGTACCAACGAGATAGCCCAAGTCAAATCCAAATGCAAACTGTTGTGTGGAAATTAGTGTTATGAAGTCTGGGCTTCCCACAAATTTTGAGAAGAAATGTGCCAACTGCCCTGTGGCTCAGCCAATATCAGAGGAAGGAGCTGGAGGAAGGCCAGGGAGTGCCCTTGAGGGCAGTTACAGGGCAAGCCCTGGCATATGCTTCAATCACACCCAGGGCTGCTGCACTGCTATGCTTGGGGTTCCCACAAAACAAAGGAGCATGTTGCTCACAAGGGGTAGGCCAAGTAATGCAGAACGGAATCTAGAATAATCCAAACAGAGAGGTCCCCACCCTCTTGGCTCTCTTCCATTTTGGAAAGGTCTCAATGTCAATCCTTAACATTCCATTCAAATTCAAAGTGTTGATTCCAGAACCTGTTTTCCCATGCCCCCACCCCCTGGCTGCCATAAATACAACAAATCAACAGCTCACAAATACCCCCCTCCTCCACTCTTATCCTTACATGATTTTATTTTCTTGCAAAGCACCGATTACCACCTGTCCAACTGTATATTTAGTAGTTTATCTGTTTATTGTCTAGCTGTCTCCTACTAGAATACAGACTCCGTCGAGGACTTTGTTCATAGCTGTATCCCCGGCCCCTGGTACAGTGGCTGGCACATAGTAGGCGCTTGATGAATACTTGTTGGATGAGTCAATGAATGGGTAAACAAATGAAGGGGCCGAAACCAGAGGATGAGACACCTGGGATGGTTGGGACAGACCTGGCCCTCCTCCCAGGGGCTGCGCACGGGCAGAAGGCAGCCCTTTCACACCCTGTTACCTCAATGTAGTTCAGCTCCTGACGGAAGGTTTTCATGACGTGCTTCACTTGTTCTTCCATTCGCTCCAGAAGTAGGCAGATGTCATCTGACTGTTTCTTCAAATCCTTCACATACTGGTCATCTTTTATTTTCAACTCCTAGAGAAGAGCGTGTCAAAAGTTGGCCACCAACTAAGACAGAAGCAAGAGGTGCCAAGTGCACTCCACTTGGACCTCTCTCTTCAGTATCTGTGAACACTAGGGATTGCAACTATACAAAGCAAAATTAACTTCAGAAGAATCTGAGGATGCCCAGGAGAAGGCACAGACAGATGGAGTGGAGTGGCCTCAGCTCGGGGCAAAGCTGGAATGAGCAGCAGGGGATCAAACCCTCCATGACCACTTGCTGCAAATCTCTCCGTAAGCTCCCAGACAGCCTAGGGCGCCCCAGCTGAGCAATGAAGATCCAGGATCCAACATGGGAATCTATATACTACAGACTAAGTTCCATTCCTTAATTGAAAACGTAAAATCTGACACAGCATTTGCTACCAACATACATCTTTCTAAGGTCACCAATAGTTCTAAAATTACTACAAAGCTTTTCCTTCTGGTTGAATTTATTGCCTGAGTTATGCAATAATCTGAGTAGTGAAGTGAGGCCTCCACATTTTTCCGTTCAGGTAGAGCAAACAAATAAGCCAGTCAAACCCCCCAGCCTGAGCCCACATGGCAGGGTCGGGGCCAGGAGTCTTGCCTGCTGTAACTCGCTGATAAGCTTGTTCTTGTCCTCTATCAGCCCGGCGCAGTGCATCTGCTGGGTGTTGAGCATGTCCCACAGGTCCTGGGGAATTCTCTTTTGTTTGCCCTCCTCCCACTTTGCGGTGATTTCATCAAATTTGTCTTGGCTTGTCTTGACTTCATTCTCCAGCTTTTCAAGTCTGTGAATACAAACAGGCCGGCCATGCCAGCCCAGCTCTGGAAGCTGCCTCCTACTGGAGGCAGGCAGGCTCACGAGAGTCTGAAACACCAGGCCCGGGTCCCAAGCACTGCCTCCAGATACCCCCGCTCAAAACCAAACCAGGCTCTGAGAAATCTTCTTTTAGCTTAAGGACTGACTGGCAGTAAGGAGACTGAATAAACAAAGTGACACGTAACAAAAGCAGATATCCTTAAAGCTACACCGATTTATACACGCACACATGCGTGCGGATCAAGAGTCAATTTGTCACATACTTCTGTAACAAACTATATGACTCCAGTGACCAAGGTCTGACTTTGCCACTAACTGACTCTCAACGTGAGACAAGTCCCTTACCCTCTGCAAGCTGCATTTTTCTCCTCTGTTAGAGGGAGAGGATGAAAGCACCTATTTTCATACGGCTACTGTCGAAGTTAAGTGAGGTAATGCTCAGCACAGCAGTCTGTTAACAAAGGGTATACTTATTATTATTTTTGGTTATCAACACGACTTCAGGTGTGTGGCCGTTCCTCTCCCAAATTATCGATAAATGACCAGGGGGACATACAAATAGGGAAACTCCACTATTAAGCAATGGAAAATCGGCATGGCCTTTCCAGAAATTCCAAAGAGTCTCTGTGATGGAGTGTATTGAGGAGAGGACCAGACTGAAGGGAGGTGTGAGGATGAGAGGCGAGCCCCCCCCCCCCAGAACAGCTGCTAGGACACATGCCAAGACTATCTCCCTACCTTAACAGACTGTCATTCTAGGAGGCTGCCCTCTGACTTGAGCGCCAACCCCTACAGGACAGAAGTAACAACTTAACCTCACGCTCCTCTCTCCTTCTCGCCTCCCTTCTGAGCTAGAGCAGAGTCCATATTATAATTCACTTGACTTTTGTCCTCAAAAAATGAAAAATAACAACCAGGTCGTCTTTCTAAAGTCCACATTTATCCTGTAACGCTGCCACTTAAGACCTTCAGTTTTTCATCAGTGGTTACGGGACAAAGCCTAACTCCTTGGCGTGGCTGGGAAATCAGCCACTTCAGGGCTGGGTATACAGCCCAAGGCAGGCAGTGGGAAGTGGCAAGAATAAAGCCACCAACTGCATCCCGATAAAGCTAGTAAAGGTGCTGAAGGAATTACTTATGCTAAACAGCTAAAAACTGTTAACATCACGCTATTGTGGAGAGAAGCTAAAATGGCCAAGTGGGTAAAGGAGGAAGAAGGGAGGAAAGCAAGAGGGAAGGAAGAGATTCATTCCTAAGGGCCAATAAGAGGCACCTGCTGGGCTGAGTTTGATACAGCCACCTTCCAACAGTTGGGGAGAATCTGGGGACCCACGGAAGAGGTGCCCTCGTGTCCCCCAGGCTGCAGAGCAGGGGCTCCTTACCTCTGACGCTTGAGCTCCTGTTCTTCCACTCTCCTGTGGATCTCTCGGATATCTGTAGCCACCTGGATATTTGTCACCAACTCAGTGCCACAGAGCAGCAGTTTAGCCAATTTCTGAAAACAAAGAAGAATTTATGAAGTTAGAGGCGCACCTGGGTGGCTCAGTCGGTGAAGTGTCTGCTTTCGGCTCAGGTCATGATCCCAGGGTCGTGGGATCGAGCCCCGCATCACTTCAGACGCCCTGCTCGGCGGGGGAGCCTGCTTCTCCCTCTCCCCGCCCCCCACTCGTGGTCTCTCTCGCTGCTCTCTTTCTCTCTCAAATAAATAAAATCTTAAAAAAAAAAAAAGAATTTATGAAGTTAAGAACATTTTGCTCAACTGTCTGTAGCTGTTCTATCCAACCAAGAGGGAATCAAAAGCAACCTTAAGACCCTAAGAGTAGTGGGGCGCCTGGGTGGCTCAGTTGGCTGGGCGTCTGCCTTCGGCTAGCATCATGATCTCCAGGTCCTGGGATCGGGCCCTGCGTCGGGCTCCCGGCTCACTGGGGAGCCTGCTTCTCCCTCTGCCTCTGCCTCTCCCCCTGCTTGTGCTCTGTCTGTCTCTCTCTCATATGAATAAATAAAATTAAAAAAAAAAAAGACCCTAAGAGTAGCATGTATTTGGCAATCCATTTCCATCAGGATGTTAGTGATGTGATATCAGAGCTTACAATTTAATAGCACACGTGATTCTGAAGGTACTTTGGCTTATTCTCGTTCGACTAGCGATCAGCCGACTAGCACACTGGCAGATACCCTAGGTACATCTCAGCACTCGCCCCCCGCAGACCCTCCAAGTGGTTGACACCACCAGGGGCTTTCCTAAGAATTCAGTGGGAGAGGTGAGGCAGAGATAATAGCAATCATCCTCCAACAGCCATTCCCTCCTCCTCTCCGAGTAACAGGAACCCCAATTTTAGCTGGACATTTGACCTACCAACATGGATACACTTTCCAACCTCCTCTGCAGCTAGAATACAGTCTGATCAATAGAACCTGAGCAGAAGTGATATGTGCCACTTCTGAATCGTGTGTTGAAGGGAAAAGTTGTGTCCTCTGCTGCCCCATCCCCCCTCCTCCCCGGCCGGCGTGTGGTGCTCCAGTACGACTCGGTGAGCACATGAAAGCCACTAAGGAAAGGCAGAAGGAGATGAGGTCCCTGACATCGAGGAGCCACCGTATCAGCCCTGGACAGTGTACTTATGCTCTGAACTACTAAGTCAGCCAGAGGGCTAAGCTTCAATGTTGTTGAAGTTACTGTTACGTGGGGTCTCCTGTTGCAGACTCTCTGGCTGCTCCTCTGTCTCCCTTAATGGCTCAGCAATTTTGCTATTGGCACCCCCCCTTCTAAATCCCACTTTGGGGGCACCTGGGTGGCTCAGTCAGTTAGCCGACTGCCTTCAGCTCAGGTCATGATCTCGGGGTCCTGGGATCAAGCCCCGCATCAGGCTCCCTGCTCAGCAGGGAGTCTGCTTCTCCCTCTGCCCTTTCCCCACCCTCACTCATGCGCTCCCGCTCTTGCTCTCTCTCTCTCTCAAATAAATAAAATCTTTAGTAAATAAGTAAGTAAGTAAATAAATAAATCAATAAATCCCTCTTTGAATTCCACATCAGTGGCTTCCCTCCTGACCTTTGCCCGATGACAGGATTTCAACGCAAAGTTCAGGTATCCTTAGGCTATGCCTAAGTTTTTCTAAGTCTGTTACGGAACTTACAAATTCTCCAGCGCTCAGATTGTTTCTGAACAAAGAACCTATAAACATCTACGTACAAAGGAGTCACTGAAACGATCAGAGATTCTGTCTCATCTCACCCTCCTAAGGACATTTGGAAATGCAGTTTTAATGAATACAGAACCAGAGCCTTAACCCAGATATCCAGAGGTACTCCAGACTTTTTTTTAAAGGGATACAGTCTTAGCACTTGTACCAAATGGTTTTACATGCCTAAGGAAGTAAAGCCTTTCCTGTAGTTTTTGAACAATTTTCTATTTTCTGCTCAGACAATGCGAACATCAGAAATTTCTGAATCAAGTATTTCAGACTCAAAGTAAAATGGAAAATGTGGGACGCCTGGGTGGCTCAGTCGGTTAAGCATCTGCCTCCGGCTCGGGTCATGATCCCAGGGTCCTAGGATTGAGCCCAGCATCAGGCTCCTTGCTCAGCGGGGAGCCTGCTTCTCCCTCTGCTTGTGCTCTCTCTCTCTCTGTCAAACAAATAAATAAAGTCTTTTAAAAAAACAAGTAAAACGGAAAATGTTACAGTCACCAACAGACGAACAGACACAGGAAAAGATAAAACTGTCATTTTCCGATGATAGGGTTATATATGTAAAAAATTAAACACGCAAACAAAAGAAACCACAGGACAGCTATTAGAATTAACAAGTGAATTTGACAAAGTTGCTGAATATCAGGTCACTATACAAAAACCAATTGTGCTTTTATATATCAGCAATAAACACTTAGAGCCTCAACAAAAAGTATAAAACATTGTTGAGCAAAATTCAAGAATACCTAAATAAATGGAGGGATATTTTATACTCACAGATTGTACATCTCATTGTTGTCAAGATATTAATTCTTTCCTAAATCCGACCTCAGTGAAAGTCCCCAGCAGGGGACAACTTGGTGCCTCATGGGTTAAGTGGCTGACTCTTGATTTCTGCTCAGGTCATGATCTCAGGGTCCTGGGATTGAGCCCCACATCAGGCTCCACGCTCAGCGGGAGTCTGCTTGAGGACTCTCTCTCCCCCCCTCCCCTTAACCCCAATCTCCCCACCCCCCACCCCCACTCTCTCTCTAAAATATATAGATAAAACTTCTTAAAAATCCCAGCAGGTTTTTTGGTGGAAACTGACAAGCTGATTGTAAAATTTATATGGAAATGCAAAAGGTCAAGGATAGCCAAGGCAATCTTGAAGAACCACAGAACTGGAGGACCCACTCCACCAGATGTCAAGACCTGTCACAAGGCTACAGTAGTTAAAATAGTGTGGAATTGGTATAAAGTCAGACAAGTAGACCAATAGAACAGAATAGAGAATCTAGAAACAAATCCAATAGGTGATCACCTGATTCACAACAAAGGTGTATTGCAGTGCAGTGGGGAAAGGATGATCTTTTCAATAAATGGTGCTGGGTCAATTAAAAATCCATACACAGAACAGTGAACCTTGAGCCTTACCTTTACAACACCCACAAAAATCAATTCGAGATAGATTACAGACCAAAATGTAAATGATAGAACAATAAAGCTTCTGAGAAAACTTGGAAGAATATATTTATAAAATTGGAGCAAGATTAAATAGGAAACAAAAGAATCACCAATTAAAAATGACTGATAAGGTTCAGGGCCAAGGACAGTGGCCCTTCCTGTCCAAGTCTTAGGGTAGAACTGGTTATTAAAATCTTGATATTGAGGAAGGCAGCATTTGGTTTTTATACATTTCTTTTCTATGCCAACACTTTACATGACTGAAGTCCTAAGTGAAAGGAAGCTTGAAAAGCTGCTAATGAAAACAACATTATCTCTCCGGGTTCACACTCAAAGAGTGCTCCAGATGAAGTGTATATCAGTATTTTCAAGACCATACCAGTATAAACTATAACAGTAGGTTCCAGATTCTATACAATATCCTTGTGATCCTACCCAGCAATGTTCAGAGATCATTGACACTTTGACGAAGTAACCCCAGTACAGAGAGGGGGCATGACTCATCTACGTCACAGTGAGCACCAGATCAGGACCAAGAACACACCACGGTTCAGTATTCTTTCTGCCACATCAAGTATCTTATCCTTGACACAGGACCATACGGTTCACTCAGGTGTCTCTATAGATCTCTATGCTCTATAATGACATTTCAGTAACTTGAGTATTTTTTTCTCCCAGTAAGTGCACTTCAGCTTCTGCCAGAAACGATCTCTCTCCTCTCTGCTTTTGTAAGTCCCACCTATTTTTCCAAGATGCAGCTCAAATCCCACTTTCTCCATGTAACCTTCCCCCATCAGGCCCGCTTGGGCAGCCCTCTTCCTTACCTCAATTCCGACCGTCCCACTGCCCTATGATACTCATTTAGCAATTAATTAAATGCAGCACTTCACCAGTTCTGCTTGCTGTTTGGAAGTGTTGTTCATTCTTCCTGCTCCTGTTGTTCCAAGTCCTGTATTAAACATCCCAGGAGCCCTGGTATTGCCATGGGAGAGCAATCGATGACTTTCTTTTTAGTGGTTATTGAGTACAAGCTCTGCACTACTCCATGGGTATAGGAGAGGCTCTCCCTCTCACGGAGCTTACAGCTCCACTGGGGACACTGCAGGACACACACTTGAAGTCCTACAAGCGAGAAAATGGTCTAAAATGAAACACGTGGCACGGAGAAGAAGTATTCGGTGTGTGAATTAAAGGAGTCTGGGCTGCAGAAGAGTCATGGACTTGAAGTCCTCTCAAGTTGGGACTTGAGATGGTCCTGAAGTGTGGGAAGGCATCCTGATGAGAGGAGAGGAGAAGAGAAAGGTGGCGGAGAGGGAAGAGGAGGGGAGGGGAGGGAATGGCATTCTGGAAGATCAGACACACACACAACAGCAAGAGCGGAGCCCCCACTGGAGGTGAGTGAGCAGATCAGCCAAGCGAGAGCAAAGGCCCAAAGTAGGTATCAGTGGGATGAAGACTGAGGTTAGGACGGGAAGAGAAGGCCCTGAATGGGTAGCTTAAACATTTGCACTTGATCCAATGAATAGTCTGTAGGATGAAATGAAAGCTCACTCCTAGAGAGCTCTCAAAATGGGAAAGATTCAAATTCACTTCTGCCTAACTAAAGGCGGGAACATGGAATCTCTCTTGAGATTTTTCTGGTCTAAGTACAAAAACCATGACATCATACCCAGGTCCCTAGTGTCACTGGCTGACAGGACCCATCTGCTACAGCTCATACCAGTCTGCTTTCTTCTTTCTGCTTGTAGCTCTTGCTTTGATCTTCTTCACTCTCTTTCTTCCCATCTAAATATTCTCCAAGTGCTTCCCTGTGATGGGAGAAAGTAGAGAAACTAAAGTTATTTCTAGTATGTGGATTCTATATTTAGAGTTTCCATAGTGCACGATACCATATACGAAAATATATCCCATATGGATAAAAATTTAAATATTAAAAAAACACAATCATAAAAACACCAGAAGTAAATACAGGGGAGAACCCATCTTAGAATAAGACCAAAGCTAGAAAAAAAAAAATTGAGAGACTTTACTTCTTAAAATTTAAAATTCTTCTCCTTGGATCAAGGGATAAACTCGTAAAAGATACTTGACAAAACACTGCCATCTAGAAAATAGAACAGGCTCCTTCAAATCAATACAAAAAAGACAAAACACCAATTAGAAAAACTGGCAAAGGATGTGGACAGACAACTTACAGAAGAAATACAACAGGCAAATAGACATTTGGAAATGCATTCAACTTCACATAGAACCTGAGAAATGAAATTGAGAAGCCCGTGAGGTATCATTCTCCATACCAGACAAGAAAAGATTTAAAAGGTTGCTAATAGGATGCCTGGGTGGCCCAGTCAGTTAAGCGTCTGCCTTTGTCCCAGGGTCCTGGGATCGAGCCCCGCATCGGGCTCCCTGCTAAGTGGGGAGCCTGCCTCTCCCCCTGCTTGTGTGTTCATTCTCTCTCTCTCTCTCTGACAAATAAATAAAAAAAAATCTTTTAAAAATAAATAAATAAATAAGGGGCACCTGGGTGGCTCAGTCATTAAGCGTCTGCCTTCGGCTCAGCATGGGGCTCCCTGCTCCATGGGAAGCCTACTTCTCCCTCTCCCACTCCCCCTGCTTGTGTTCCCTCACTTGCTGTGTCTCTGTCAAATAAATAAATAAAATCTTTAAATAAATAAATAAATAAATACATAAATAAATAAAAGATTGATAATATCAGGTGTGGGCCAGGTGTGGGTGCCTAACTATTCACACCACTCCACAAGAGGACTCCCAGGACTGCCTTAGGAAAAATGAAACCATCATGTTATGACCTCATTCATGGTGCAACAAGCAGATCTCTCTGCCTCATTCTTTCTTGATTTTTTTCTAATACTGACTTCCGTTTCCACTCCCTTTGTTCAAAGTTCAGCACCGCTCTACAGCATTTTTGACATGTGGAGTTACCACCACCCCCCACTTCAAATCTAACCAAAACCCCATTTTCTTTCTTGTCATTTCATGCACTTCCCTATTCTTAGTCAATCTATTCTTTGCCATTACTAAGAGAACTAAGTGTTCCGTTTGACTCGGTCTTCCGACATTGTCAGGTTCATGGTTTTCCCACTATCACACAAAATGCACTCTTTCTCTTGACTTTCTACTTTGACCACCAATTAAGGAACCAACTCTATCTAAATAATCCCTCCAGTTGCTCCATTTCCTGGAGCAAAGACCAGTTCTTCAGAAAGAGAAAGAACTCTTATTAACCTAGTTTTCACTTGAACCCCACTGCTGCCTTTTACTTATCATTTCTGATCTTCCTAGCACTGCACTGTCCAACTGTCCAAGAAAGGGAGCCATTAACCACAAGTGGCTGATCCAAACTGAAATGCCCTGTGAGTATAAAATACAAACTACATGGATTTTTGAAGACTTTGAGTGAAAAAAAAAAGCAAAATATCTCAATATAATTCATACTGATTACATGTTAAAATAATATTTTTATATAGTGGGTTAAATAAAATAAGTGACAAAATTAGTTTCACCTGCTTTGTTTACTTGAACGGGGTGACTAAAAATTTGTTGTCTTGTTTTGTTTTGCTTGCTGACCTAGCCTATTCCCCAAAGGAGTCATCCCCAAAGAGACTTCTCCCTCCTCAGGTTTGAGCTGAGTCCCTCTTTCGGGAAACTGCTTCCTCGGGGCCCCCACCCTTGCCGTCTCAATGGAGCCTCCATCTTCTTGAATACCCCACCTCCTGACCAATCAAAGTCCCTTCTCGGGATTTAAAAACTTGGCACTTCATGGATTGTTTGGCTGGATTTCAGGTTCTGGGTTGGAAATCATCTTCCTTCAGAATTTTGAGAGTATTGCTGCAATGTCTTTTACCTTCCAGTGGCTATTTCAAAACCCTGAAGTCACTCTGTTTCTTAATCCTTTCCTTGGACGTGACCATTGTTCTCACTCTAGAAACTTGTAGGTCCCTTCTCCTGGCTCTCGGTGCCCTTGAAGCCGCTGTCTCGGCCCCTGCAGCCAAGTTAGTAGTCTTTGAGTTTTAGCAAGCACTTTTAGCCCACGTGATGGAGTAACTAAACCCTTCTTTGTGTATCTATAGATGATGCATTGCATTGTTTCCTAGAAAGACTCCAGACCAAACTCTCTTGCACAACCTCCCCTGCTCCCCACCCCCCGCCACCCCGCCCCACGCAGCAATACTCAACCTCTGAGCACCAGGATAACGAGTGTAGCTGGCACCACTGAGTCTGCACGCAATCAAGAAGGGTTAAAGACCACTGTCCTCCCTTTTTACTGATTAACTGCCCTAAAGTTTCTGTAAAAATCTTCGGGCCAGGCAGAAACCTTGGGGTTGGTTTTTGGACAAGAGTCCGCCTTCTCCATCACAATTCCGGACTTCAAGCCCTTTTACAAAGCTGTAATCATCAAGACAGTATGGTACTGGCACAAAAACAGACACATAGATCAATGGAACAGAATAGAAAACCCAGAAATGGACCCTCAACTCTATGGTCAACTAATCTTCGACAAAGC